ACGCCAAGCTCAAACGGTTCGCCATCACTGGCCTAGGCCCTACCTTAGTTATATTTGTGTTCAGAGTACCTGTTGTCTAGCATAGTCCTGTGTAATAGAAATGATATGTGAGCAAATACATGATTTTAGTTTTCTAGTAATTACATTACGAAGAGTAAAAAGAAACTAGTGAAATTAATTTCAATAATACATTTTACCTAATCCAATATATTTAAAATATATTGTGAATATATTTATAAAAATTATTAGTGAGATATTTTACTCCCCCCACTTTTTTTTGATACAAAGATTCGGAATTCTGGTGTATATTTTACATGTTCTGTACAGGACATCCTAATTCAGATGAACATTTCAGATTCTCAATAGTCATATGTGGCTCCTGGCTACTCAATTACACAGCAGAGGATAATTTTTTTAAAAAGGTACTCTCAAGTATCTGTCAGTACTTATTTTTTGAGAATTTTGTCTAGTGTCCTGCCAATAAATATATTGCCTGACACTTGGTATATTTTATCTCATTTAATACACATACAACCTGAAGATGTAACTATATATATTATAACTTAAACCATATATTTTCTTCACCATTGTTTATCCAATTCCTGGCTGTTTTTTTAATACATATTTTTATTGATTTTAGAGAGGAAGGGAGAGAGAGAAAGAGAGAGAGAGAGAGAGAGAGAGAGAGAGAGAGAGAGAGAGAGAGAGAGAGAAACATCAATAATGAGAGAGAATCATTGATTGGCTGCCTCCTATACACTCCACACTGGGGATTGAGTTCCCAACTCAGGCATGTACCTTCACCTGGAATCGAACCATGACCAACCTGGTTCATAGATTGACATTCAACTACTGAGCCATGCTGGCTGGGCCTGGCTGACTTTCTTAATAAATATTTATCTTACATTTAAATTTATGACTATTGAGTGAACATTTGGTTTTAAAAAGGTTAAATTGTTTGTCTAAAGTGAGTGACCGAGCCAGGATTCAGACCCAGCTCTGTGACTCAACTCCTAGGCTACTCACTTTCCTGATATGCCTCCTCTATGTATGGATGAAAGAACCATTATGTTATTCCTACGTGGCACATTAATGAGCATATAAAGTCCTACAAAAGTATAAGATTCATCATGTATCACTATGTGGAGCAGTTGTTGAATATCTGTCAGGAAATGCTTAAAAGTGGAGTTATTTAAAAAATTAATATCAGAGGCACTTGTGGTATGATATGTCCAATAAAAAATAATTCTTCATGTCCTGCCATTAGAAACAAATGAGAATAACTTTTAAATAGCCTTCGATTTCCTTATACTGCAACACTCCACAGCCTTTTTATGAGCAAATTCTTGAATATGATTAAATGTGAAGCAGACACAGCCTTAGCTGGTATACTCAGGGGGTGGAGTGTTAGTCTGAGGACTGAAGGTGACACATAGAATCCTAAAGGGAAGCTGGGAAAGGGTGGGATGCCAGAAACTAGTGAGGTCAAGTGAAGGGGTTACAGGAATAGCCCCTGAGGGAGAAAGTCTACACGTTGAGTTCAATCCCAGTGGATTACTTTGATCCCAGAGAAATCACAGTTGAGCAATCCTCCTATATAATAAAGGCCTAATATGCAAATCTTCCCCTTGACCAGGAGTTCTACCAGGGGGCGGGGCCGGCTGGCCAACCTCCCACATCCCCTCCCCATCCTGTGCACGAGTTTGTGCACTAGGCCTCTGGTTATAATAATTGTAGTTGACATTTATTGCGCATTTACACTTTGCTGGGCATTGTTTAAGGCAGTGCCTGGTTTAAACCCCAGATATGTTGGATACAATAGTTTTACTCTATTTGGTAATGTGAAAGCAAACACCATAGGCCCCACAGGTCCACTCCCGCTAAAAGCCCATGATACCGAACCTAGATTTTATACCTGATTTAACTGCAATTTCAGTCTCTCCCAGAAATGTAATCTCAATCAACCAGACTAGATTTTTCCAGTCAGGCACCAGGTAGGTCACATGGACCCTCTCCATCTCTCTCATCCCCCCGCCCCCCAAAGATACAATCTGCATAGGAAAACCCTTTCTGTTCTTCCTCCTCCCCCTCCAGAGAAGATGAGCTGGGTAAAAATAATCCTTTCTTTGGCTAATAACGCCTCTGACATAGCCTCTCCCTATAAAAAAAACTTTCATTTTGTACAAGCCATTTTAGTTGCTAGATGGGATGCTGCCTGATTCATGAATCTTTTTATTTTTGAGATGTCTTTATTGATTTCAGAGAGGAGGGGAGAGGGAGAGAAACACCAATGATGAGAGAGAATCATCAATTGGCTGCCTCCTGCATGCCCCACACTGGGGATTGAGCCCACAACCTGGGCATATGTCCTGACCAGGAATCTAATTGTGACCTCCTGGTTCATAAGCCCATGCTCGACCACTGAGTCACGCCGGCCGGGCTTATTTGTGAATCTTTTAATAAAGCCAATTAAATCTTTAAATGTACTCTGTTGAGTTTTGGTTCTTTATCAGCAATGAGCCTTGGTAAGTCAATTTGGGAGTGGAGATTGGAAACTGGCATGCCCAGTCCAGAGTCTGGAGGCAGAGGTAAGGGGCGGGGCCAGGGAGCTGAAGGGGTTCTGGGCTAAGGAGTTCCTGGGGCTGCTGGCTGCCTCTCTGCTGGACTCTTGGAGGCCCCAAACGCGAGTCCCAGTTTGATGACCCTCTACGTCCCCCGACTGCCTTACCAGCACCCAAAGTCAGGCGACTTATGGGGACCCTCACTTAGTCCTTCCCTAGCCACCAAAGGAGGGACACACAGGAGAAAGATGTTGGAACTTTTGCATAATTTATTAGGTAACCAAAAGAAAAATGTACAGATGTCTATGAAGACCAATGTCTTACATGTCTATTCAACTGAGAAGTGTTATTGTAAGAACATTTGTCCTAGAGGATCATTCCATGAAGGGTCAGGGTGGAGGCAGCCAGTCATCTTCCTGGCCACTGCACCTCAGATCTGCTGCTGCCAGCCTCCCCATGAAAGTGGTTGCACCTGAGAGCGATGCTGGGAGGAACAGTCCCATTGAAGTCTGGGTTCCAGTTGTCCTTCCTCCTGCAGGGCGACAGGCGGAGGGAGTCTGCAGGGCGAGCCACAGCTGGGCCTCTGGGCATCGGGCCCTCCACTCCTGGGGGCCTTTCTGGTTCCTGGGTCTTGGATGTGGGGTCCTCCACTGCTGGGGCCTCATTGATTGGCTGCCTCCTGCATGCCTCCTACTGGGGATCAAGCCCGCAACCCTGGGCATGGGGCCCTGATCAGAATCCAATCCTCCTGGTTCATAGGTTGACATTGAACCATTGAGCCACACTGGCCAAGCTGCAGAAGCTTTTTAATGTGATGTAGTTTCATTTGTTTTTGTTGTCTTTATTTTTGGTGTCACATCTAAAAACTCATCTTGAAGAATGACGTCAGGAACTTACCTCCTATGTTTTCTTCCAGGAGTTTTATGGTTTTGGGTTTTATATCCATGTCTTTAATCCATTTAGTGTCAATTCTTGTGTATGGTGTAAGATAGTGTGTCAGTTTTATTCTTTTGCATGTGGCTGTCAGGTTTTCCCAGCACCATTATGAATAGATTGTCCTTTCCCCATTGTATAATTTTGGCTCCTTCATCATAAATTAATTGATCATGTGGAAGAAAAACAGCAAAATAGAATTGGTATTCTCCAGAGAGCAGTTTAAAATGGGTGGCATGCAGGAAGCTGAGTTAACACACTCCCTCCAAGTGAAACTGAACTTTTGAACTGGGCTAAAACCAACAATACATCATGATGCAATTTCTTTTTTAAATATATTTTTATTGTTTTCAGAGAGGGAAAGAGAGATAGAAACAACGTCAATGATGAGAGAGAATCATGGATTGGCTGCCTCCTACACGCCTCCTCTGGGGATTGAGCTGGCAACCTGGGCATGTACCCTGACCAGGAATCAAATTGTGGCCTCCTGGTTCATAGGTCAATGTTCAACCAATGTCCACGCCAGCTGGGGATACAGTTTCTGGAACTGGCTCTGCGTCACTGAACTCTATTAATTTTTTTTTTTTTTTTACTAGCAATAGGACATACCTAGCAGTTAATCATTTATACCATAATATAAGTTGGTTTGCCAGCACCGATCATAGCTCTTTCAAAGCAACTTGTGCAACTCCTTGGAAACTCCCTTTTCTCTATCTTTATAAACTCTGATCCTTTCATTCTCCCTCAGAATCAAGTTGGGTTTCTACCTATATCTGTGTCTTCCAGATTTGCAATACCTAAAAAGGCTCCCAAGTAAAGCTTTTGTTTGGTTATAGGTTTTGGTCAAATTCATGGATTTATTTCTGGGCTCTCAATTCTGTTCCATTGATAGGTATGTTTTTTTGTTAGTACCATATTGTTTTGATTATTGCGGCTTTGTAATATACTTTGACATCAGGGAGCATGATGCTTCTAGCTTTGTTCCATTTTTCTCGACTGTTTTGGCTATTTGGGGGTCTTTTGTGGTTCCATACAAATTTAGGATTGTTTGTTCTATTTCTGTGAAAAATACCATTGGGAAATTAACTTTTAATTTTAAAACCTGTCTGCTTACGTTTTTGGTGGGCAGGGGCTTTGTATCTTACCTTAAATGCTCATTTACAAGGGAAAGAGCTTATGATAATTTCTTGAATGAACGAGAATATAGGAGTTTGTTGGGAGCCATTAGAGATATTGGCCTAGACAAAGCCATCTTAAGAACAATAAGTTTCTGGTAGGAACTCCTAGTTACCAGAAACCACGTATGTCCTGAGGTTTGGTCAGCAGCTAAAGATAATTATCTCATACCCTGAAGCAACTACCGCCACAACCTGGAGCCTGCTACAACCCTGTTGATAAGCTAATAGGCTTCTCCACCCCCCACCCCCCCCCCACCCCCCACCCCCCCGTCCCTAAAACAATATATATTCTGCCGCTGGAAGAATAAAATTTGAGGCTTGATCAGGATCTTGTCTTGCCTCCATTTCTTCGCGTCTCCTATCCTCTCATTCCCTTACAGGAATCGTCACGGTACCCACGTTGCATGCCCCGCGGGTCGGGGCCGGAGTTAAAACAAAATACAAATAGAGACTAGACTTGAAAATTCCCTGAACAGCAGAACCAGCTAAGCCATGTAAGTGAAATCTAAAGTAGCTTATTCTGCAGTGTAAGCAAAACCTAACTAGGGTTGTTTCTTATAAATGCCTCTGAAAGTCACTTTAAAAACCTAAATTGCCCTAACCGGTTTGGCTCAGTGGATAGAGCGTCGGCCTGTGGACCGAAGGGTCCCAGGTTCGATTCCAGTCAAGGGCATGTACCTTGGTTGCGGGCACATCCCGGTAGGGGGTGTGCAAGAAGCAGCTGATCGATGTTTCTAACTCTCTATCCCTCTCCCTCCCTCTCTATAAAAAAAAAAAAAAATCAATAGAAAAAACCTAAATTGTTATCCACCTGGTGTGGCTCAGTGGTTGAGTGTTGACCTATGAGCCAGGAGGTCACAGTTCAATTCCTGGTCAGGGCACATGCCCGGGTTGCAGGCTTGATTCCCAGTGAGGGTGTGCAGGAGGCAGATTCTCTCTCATCATTGATGTTTCTAAATCTCTCTGTCCCTTTCCCTTCTTCTATGAGATCAATGAAAATATATTTTTAAAAAAATAAATAGTTTTCCAAAATTAGCATAAGATGACCACTTTTTTAAAAAAAATATATTTTATTGATTTTTTACAGAGAGGAAGGGAGAGAGATAGAGAGTTAGAAACATCCATCAGCCACCTCCTGCACATTTCCTAATGGGGATGTGCCTGCAACCCAGGTACATGCCCTTGACCGGAATCAACCTGGGACCTTTCAGTCTGCAGGCTGACGCTCTATCCACTGAGCAAAACCGGTTTCGGCAAGATGACCACTTTTAACAAATCCCCTGTCATTTGGGGGGAAAACCAAATGCTATAAGTAACTATAAAGATTGACTAGCCTCAGTGTTTTTATTTTATAAGCCATCCTATAACAACATAGCTCTGGGCTCCGTAACACTACTGGTTTGACAATTCTCTTTGTGAACTGTCCATCTACACACAATAAACTCTTACTAAAGACAATTATATTGATTTGGTTTTATTTTTTAGCAGTTTCTGGATTTTGACAGGGGCCACCTGCCACCTTTACAATGGATTGGCCATAGAATTGAAATCTGGACTCTGTCCGGTTGTGTTGTACAAAACATTCGTTGCGAGGAGAAATTTACAAAAGCTTTGATTTGGGTCCAAGGAAAGGAGTGTTGGAAATGATGTGTATTGCTCACTTAAATGAATTAATTTATATGACTAATAATATATTATGTTTAAGTTAGTCCCGTTTAAAAATAAACAGAGGGTCTGAATAGCAGACATACAAATAGGCAACAGGCCCATGAAAAGGTGCCCAACATCACTAATCATCAGGGCAAAGCAAATCCAAACCACAATGATATATCACCTCCCACTGGTTAAGATGGCAATCATCAAGAAAACAAGAGATAAGTGCTGGCGAGGATGTGGAGACAAGAGAACTCTGTGCACTGTTGTTAGGAATGTATATTGGTGCAGCCACCCTGGAAAACAAAAATAGAGGTTCCTCAAAAAATTACAAATAAAACCATGACTTGATCCAGCAATCCTACTTCTAGGTATTTGTCTGAAGAAAACAAAAACACTAACTAGAAAAGATATCTTCACCCCATTTTCATTGCAGCATTGTTCACAATAGGCAAGATATGGAAACAACCTGTGTCCATCGACAGATGAATGTGTTAGGGGCAGAAAGAGAATAATGGGGACTAGCTATAATTATAAGAAATATTCATCATGCTCTGTTAACCAGGATTGTTCTGATTGGAGAAAGCACATTCTATCCTGGATGAGAGCTGTACTCCCCGGGGCATAGGAGTTACCCTGGGAATGCAGTCAGTCCATTCTTCTTTTCCGAGAACTGCCCATCATCATGGAAAGATTAACAGCCTTGTTGCTGAAGGAATCTGTTACCAGAGGCACTCCATCATTGCGACCCACAGCCCACATTGCCTGTAACCTGTAACCATTATGCCTTGCCTACTTCCCCATGGCTGTAATTCCTACTTGCCCATGTAATCTTTGTCCTATGCATTATAAGCAGGTGGCTTATGGTGGGGGGTAGAGCAGATCTTTGTGGATGACCTGCTGCTCTCCCACGCTGCCAGCATTATTGGAATAAACACTCACATATGATTCAACCCTGTGTCTGCTTAATTGGCTCAAGTAGTGACAGGCAACTGGGACCCATTGGTTGTCTGGTTTCAAATGGATGAAAGAAGATGTAGCATATATGATACGGAATTTTTGGACTGAAACCCGGGTTCTTTGTCCACTGGAATCAAAGAATGAATCCATGGACAGAAAGTGGTATAGCAAAGGTGGAGATTTATTTAGAACAAGTACAGACTCCCAAGTGGGGAGAGGGAAGAGTCCCACAGAACGGACTCCCACGTAGGGAGGGGGAAAAGGGTCCCACTGGGTTCCTTTCCCTATGGCTTTATAAAGGCTGCAGATCCTGGTGCCTGACATCCCCTCTGATTGGTCAATATTTCCCTTCAGTTGGTTACTATATTAACTCCTGAGCTCAAAGGTTGAACCTCACATGGGACATGTTAGGTTCTCCCTGCTCCTTCCCCACTGTTCCCCTATTCCCTCTGGGCTTTCTTCTTTTCCATCTGAATGAAGGGCTTCCCTCTCCCCATTTTGTCAATATAGACCTTTCTTGGCTACTTCCAGTTTCCTTGTCTTATGGAAATATACCTGTTGCCACTCCCTTGTCTTATGGAGATGTAACTGCACCTGGCTTCCTTGTGTTATGGAAATGTACCTTCTCCCTGTGTTTTTTCCATGGACCCCAATTCTAAAAAAAATCCCTAAGCCATACCAATGGACATGGACAACAGGGGGATGGGAGCATGAGTGTGTGTGGGGGGGAGGTTGGGGGTTAATGGGGGGGATGAGGACACATTTGTAATACCTTAACTAATAAAAAAAAAAAAAAAAATCCCTAAGCCTGCCTATATTTCCCTAAAATTCCTGCTTCATATACATGTAATGGAATATTATTCAGCCATAAGAGAGAAGGAATTCCTACCATTTGAAACAACATGAATGATACATAAGGGCATTTTGCTAAGTGAAATAAGCCAGACAGAGAAAGACAAATACTGTGCGGTCTCACATGTGAAATTTTTTTCTTTTCTTTCTTTTTTTTTACATGTGAAATCTTTAAAAAAAGAGTTTAACAAGTCAAACTCGTAAAAATAGAACAGAAAAGTGGTTGCCAGGGAATGGGGAGTGGGGAAAATAGGGAGAAGTTACTAAAAGGGTACAAACTTTCAGCTACAAGATAATAAGGTCTGAGGTTGTAAAGTAAAATGTGGTGACTATAGTTGAAAACTTTGTATTTTATAAATGAAATTTTCTAAGAGAGTGGAACTTAAATGTTCTCACCATAAAAAAGATAGAACCTTTTCCCAACTTCCACTAGGCCTTTCACCTTATAAAATTTTGTCTTGGAATCCAGGACAAGAAAATATCTCCTTCTTTTTCCCTTATTCTGCCTTCTCCTCCTTCTTCTATTTCAGTCTTATTGAGGTATAACTGACATAAACTCCTAAGTTTCATCCACTTTTTATAACTATGGGTATTTTAATAAGCTGCAGATACACTCTCCATCAGGTGCTACAGAGATGGAAACACACTGCCCAGAACACCCCTGGGAGTCACCATCTTACAGCCCCACTGAGGCAGCTGCTGTATGATGACTGATGTCAAATTGGACTCAGCCTCTTTCTTCAAAAGGCTTTGACTCCAAGTAAATTGAGAAAGAATGAAGATACATACCAGCGGCACACACTATCTGTCTGCTGTGTTCCAGACAATTCAGGGTGCAGACTGTTGAGTAAAAGTTAATGAAAACATATCCACACCTCAGTACTATTCACACACCTCTCTATCGGGGGGCCTAGAGATACCAGACAGAACCCTTGTCTGAAAATATGAAGACTTAAGTTTCTTGCTCTGAATCGATCACTAAATTGCTGCATGAGCTCAAGTAAACCACTTAATGGCAATGGCAGTAACTTTTTCTCAGTTGTAAAGAAGACGGAGCTTGGGTTAAGATGTTCTCTAATCCCCTGAGATTATTATTCCTTCTCTTATCCCTTGAGATTATTTTTATGTGTCCATATCTATCCACTTACAGAATCAAGAGTGATGTGATTTTTGTTTTTTACCTGTTCACTTTATTCTATACAGGCCGACCAGAAGTGAGTGAAAGAGGCTGCTTGCCAGGAGGTGAATGAGAATAGAAATGAAATGAGTCTGGCTTTCAAATGCCAAACGGGTAGCCAAAAACTCCTGGCTTGATTTGGAATACCAGTAATATCAATTGGTAGGTTAATTGAGGGGGTGAGACTAGATCTCAAAACCTGGCCTATTGTTATGTAAAACAGAAGGGATTAACTGACTCCTTTCCCCCTTCTCTTCAAGTAACTATTGTGGATTTCCAGAACAGTTCTCAAAGGAATACACCTTATATTATGACCTGGTGTTACAGAGAACCAGAATAAATCAAGCAATGCTCAGAGAGTTTGGAGTTACACTTTATTCACCGTGGTGGGCTTAGAGAAAATGAATTCAAATTCTAAGCAGAGCTACAAGCAGAACTTCCCTTTTTATGAAAGAGCCAGCCCTATGTGTGCTTAGTGGTTATCTTGCTGGTGGCCTTGAAAACTCCACAGTTCTACCCAATTAAAAAATGCACCTGGCATGGCATTGAGAGTATTGAGAGTACTGGGCCGACAAGGTCAGACAGTTAAGTTTATCTTCCTCATTATTCAAGCAAGCTAAAGCAGGCTAGAAAGCAGAGTTATTATATATTTTTTAGAATAAGAGGCCTTCTAAAGAATAGCAGAGAATTCCAAACAGTAGTTTTACAAAATAGGGGTTAGCCTTCTCACTGGGACACATACATACATACGTACATATATACGTACCTGACTCAATACTTACCCTTACAACATTATGTTATTTTCTATTCTATTATGTTTTGGTTTCTTTGTTGTTTTTTAGAACTAAATACAGGATTTATTTGGGGGTGGGGTGGGGGAGGAGGCAGCCAGGGTCTAAAGACACCTGGGATGTGAGCGAAGCATAGGCTGACGGTGGGCAGGGGTGGGTTTGTAGGTGGCCTGAATTAGACTTCTAACACTCAATCCTAACAGCAGAAACCTAAGGTACAACTCTGAAAATGCTAACTTTCACACAGAAAGTAAGTCAAGAGCTAGACCTAAAGAGGAGGGTTTAGCTCAGTGGTTTTCAACAGAGAAGCAGTATGACCCCTACAAGCAGGTCAGGGGGGAAGGAAGGTCTGGGTTCTGGTGAGAAGTGGTCATCAGCAGGCAGGGCCAGAAATGCTGCATGCTCAGTGAATGACTGTCCTGCCTTAAATACCAGGGGCATCTGGTAATCTACCTGGGACCAAGCAAGGCTGGGAGGGGCTCCTTTCCCCTCTGCTACCTCTCGAGTTGGTGCTGCTGGCTTGCCAAGAAGTTAAGCACAGCAGCTGGGACTTCAGGAGCTAGGGGAGTCTCAGGAGACCTGCACACAGCTGCTGCTCGGATCCTTTTCTGCTCAGGCGGATGGGCTGCAGCTAGTTTATGCTGAGGACGTCCCTCTGGATCTCGTGGCTTAACTGGGCCTGTGAATCACTCAGCTTCTTCAACCCAGAGAGGGCTGAGAGGACGATGGGGCGGGGCGCAGAGAGCCACAGGCCTCCACGTGGTAGTAAAACTTCTCTGGCTTGCTGCGGGGGTCGTGTGAAGTCTGGGACTCATCTTCCTCCAGCTCTGAGTACTCCCTCTTTGGCCACTCCTCGGGCTTGGGGTCCATTGTGTGCTTCAGGGCGCTGTCGGGACCGTATTCCAAAGCCACCCCTGCAGTCGGGTTCCACTGAGCATGTTCCTTGCCAAAGCCCTTTGGGTCATAGGCGCACGGTCTGAGCTCCTGGTCCTTTCGCAGTTTGACGACGAGGATGTCCGTCCTGGTCCACGTAGTCATTGGGGTCGTTATCTCGGCTCCGGGATGTCACTGGAATGACGGGGGGCTACTGGAGATGAAGGTCTCCGAGATGTGACGTCATGAGTCTGGTCTTCGTGGCACCGCACGTCCACAGTGAACTCCACCGAGCTCTCGGGCAGAACTCACGCGTGCAGCCCCGAAGTACTGCAGCTAGTCCACAATGTCATTGCGAGTGAGGGGGTTCATCCAAGCCTGCAAGGACTGAGGAATTTAAAGAATTGGCGTCCATTTGAGCCCAGTCAATGGCTATTGTGGGCACCTCGGTGATGAAGGCCCTTCGAGTAGAATTGGCCACCGCTAGGTCTGTAGTTTCCATGATGAACTTGACATTCTTGTTGGTGAGCTCCCTGATCCGCACGCTGAGCTGGTTGGCATACGGCATCTCGCTCAGCCTCCCGGCCGGCAGCCGGCATCAGCTGTTTTGGTGTTTTAATTCTTGGCTTCCATCAGCATTTTTTAAAGCTTTGTCTGGGGGTGGAGGGCGTGTGGCTAGCAGCTGTCTCCTTCTTAGATCTGGGTTGCAGATGTAAGAACAGATGTTTGCTATTCGCTCCATAACGTCCTGGGCAGGAAGCCAGTGGGGGTTGTCCTGCTGTGGGTCTTTGAACTGATGGCCCATCTGTCCTGGACCTTGACAGGAGTGGGTGTAGAAGTGGGAATGCAGAGAGAAAGCTCATTAGACATGACCTTGTTCTGGGATTCGGAATGTGGCACTGAGTTACCTTGTTGGAGAGGTTATTCTTTCTTTTTAAATTTTTAATATATATATTAATATTTTTATTGATTTCAGAAAGGAAGGGAGAGGGAGAGAGAGATAGAACATCAGTGATGAGAGAGAATCCTCCCGCCCTACTGGAGATCGAGCCCACAACCCAGGCCTGTGCCCTGATCTGGAACCTTGTGGTTCTTGGGTTGACGCTCAACCGCTGACCTGCCAGACTGGAAACTTTATTCTTTAAAGAAAATTTGTATCTTTGATTCAAGAGTTTCTAAAAATAAATAAATAAACAAACAAACAAGGTTAGAAATGCAGGTATCTCCTGTTGTACACAATAATCTGTTATTGAAAAAAATCCCAGTTGTTTTGCATGAAAATGATAAACTAGAGTCTGTTTCTCATTTTATTTCAGATAGGAAAAATTATACTTTGTCAGCCCCAAGCCCTCAACTAATTTTTTAAACGGGTAAGTAAAGTGTGGTAATACATTGTATATATATATATATAATTTTTTTAAATCCAAACTATCTTGTTTGGTGTGAAATGCTTAATAGATTGTTTCTTTATCACCAAATAATTTTTTTTTGATGTTTTTTTTCCATTAAATCTTTATTGTTCAGATTATTACATTTGTTCCTCTTTTTTCCCCCCATAACTCCCCTCCTCCCAGTTCCCGCCCCACCCTCCGCCTTCACTCCCCACCCACTGTCCTCGTCCATAGGTGCACGATTTTTGTCCAGTCTCTTCCCGCATCTCCCACACCCCTTTCCCCCCCCAAGAATAGTCAGTCCATTCCCTTTCTATGTCCCTGATTCTATTATGATCACCAGTTCATTCTGTTCATCAGATTATTTATTCACTTGATTCTTAGATTCACTTGTTGATAGATGCATATTTGTTGTTCATAATTTGTATCTTTACCGTTTTCTTCCTCTTCCTCTTCTTAAAGGATACCTTTCAGCATTTCATATAATCCTGGTTTAGTGGTGATGAACTCCTTTAGCTTTTCCTTATCTGTGAAGCTCTTTATCTGACCTTCAATTCTGAATGATAGCTTTGCTGGATAAAGTAATCTTGGTTGTAGGTTCTTGGTATTCATCACTTTGAATATTTCTTGCCACTCCCTTCTGGCCTGCAAAGTTTCTGTTGAGAAATCAGCTGACAGTCGTATGGATATTCCCTTGTAGGTAACTGGGTTTCTTTCTCTTGCTGCTTTTAAGATTCTCTCTTTGTCTTTTGCTCTTGGCATTTTAATTATGATGTGTCTTGGTGTGGTCCTCTTTGGATTCCTTTTGTTTGGGGTTCTCCGCTCTTCTTGGACCTGTAAGTCCATTTCTTTCACCAGGTGGGGGAAGTTTTCTGTCATTATTTCTTCAAATAGGTTTTCAATATCTTGCTCTCTCTCATCTTCTGGCACCCCTATAATTCTGATGTTGGTACGCTTGAAGCTGTCCCAGAGGCTCCTTACACTATCCTCGCATTGTTGGATTCTTTTTTCATTCCACCCCTCCGGTTGGGTGTTTTTTGCTTCCTCGCATTTCAAATCATTGACTTGATTCTTGCGCTCCTCTGGTCTGCTGTCGGGAGTCTGTATAATATTCGTTGTTTCAGTCCATGTATGCTTAATTTCTAGTTGGTTCCCCATCATAACATCAAGGGTCTCATTAGTTTTCTTGTAGATCTCATTAAGTTTATCGGCGGCTTCTAAACAGTTCTTGAGAGACCTTAAAAGTGTGGTTCTGAACTCTATATCTTCCATTGACAATTTTGTCCTGTTTCTTTGTCTCCGCATTTTTTATGCTTTCTTGGTGCACCCCCTAGTGGTCTTTGTTCGGAGTCTTGTAGATAAGCCTTGATTGTTGTAGCTAATACCAGGGAGGGTTTGACCTCCAGGCCAAGTGGCTGTGAGAATCAGCTGTGGCTGCAGTGAGAGAACTTCTGTCCTCTAGGGAGGTGCTAATCTAGCCTTTGCCTGAGGCTATCCGGCAAATGCCTCTGTGCAGGGCTTGGGCGGGGCGGGTCGCACAGGATCAACAGGGTGGGCCGGAGAGAGCAGTTATGGTGGCTCTCAGTCCTGTCACCAGGGGCTCTGCCTCTCTGAGTCCCAGCAACCGCTGCAAACCTCGGAGAGAAAGCTGCACTCGCTCTGACCGAAGCCAGACAGTCCCGCTTCTCCCATTTGAGTCTGGGTCCCTAAAGACTCGCCCGTATCTGGAGCTCAGAGTCTGCGACTCCCTCCCGATTGAAAACGCCAACCGCGCCCTCCGCTGCCAGCCCGCTCCACGCACTCCGCACCTCAGAATTTGACTTCAGCACTGCGCCTCCTCTGAGTGTCCGTATGCATTTCTCTTTCCTCCTAGTTGTAGGACTTCCACTCAGCCAGCGTTCCTGTGGTTCTGGGTGATGTCCGTTCAGTCTTTTAGTTTCACTTTTGAGGTAGTTGTTCAAGGCAGCAAATTCCGGCGTTAACCTATGCCGCCATCTTGGTTCTCCCTCTTTATCACCAAATAATTAATAGGGTCAATAAAAACAACAGCTTTCACGCAGTCGAAGGCCACTGAGCAAGATGGCTTTACTGTCCTCAGCTTGGCTAACCTTAGACAGGCTTCTCTCCGACTTTAGGCCCCCCTGAGCTCCCTTCTTCTAGAGTATTTGCTTTAGGAAAGATAATTACACATTCTTTCTCTGCCCCTTTGAGATGTAACTATTCTTAAATGCCTCTTGTGAGTTTTACAACCCAGGGAGGTCTTGCTCAAGAACCTGAAAATCATCTCTTTGACATGTGTCTGAGCAAGGGAGCACCACCAAAAGGAGTCACTCGCACACGTGTGTGTCTTTCCACGATGCCAGGTGTATTAGGGGAGGCCTCCCCAGTAAGCCAGTAGAGTCACATGCACATTACATACAGAGAGGGGGAGCTTACATGATGGAAGTGAGCAGAGCAAATGTTCAGTGCAATGCCCTGGCCACTGGCAGCGGCCCCAGGTCTCCGGAGAGGCGGGCGTCCATCTGAAGCCAGGCGGCTGCAGTGGCAGCTCGTGTCTGCTGGAGTGGAAGTCCAGCAGGGTTCCGGATGTGAGCTGTGGTACAGCAAGCACCCGCGCTGGGTGGTCGGAGCTCTCAGTTATCATCGCCCAATGAGGGTGGAGGTCCCACTCATATCGGTGTCCAGGTGAAGTCCTTACCCGAGTATTCACACTTGCGGTTTTGGGCATTCTGGCCCCCTTCCTAGGGCATTCCTGTGAAACCCCAGCTTTTTTTTTTTTTAAAAAATATTGTTTATTGATTTCAGAGAGGGAGAGGGAGAGAGAGATAGAAACATCAATGATGAGAATCATTGATCAACTGCCTCCTGCACGCCCCACACTGGGGAGTGAGCCTGCAACCCGGGCACGTGCCCTGGCTGGGAATCACACCATGACCTCCTGGTTCATAGACCTTGACGTTCAACCACAGCCACGCCGGCTGGGCTCTTCTTTTCTTCTTATAAGGATACCAGTCATATTGGAACAAGGGACCACAATACTTGAGTATGACCTTGAAACAAGAATTTTTGGTGGTGAAAAAGACAGGTTTAGGAAACTTTAGAAATTAAGGGGACCATGGAAGAAACACAGGGCTGCAGAGCAGCAAAAGGTGTATCTCCATAGAATAGGGAAGCTGAAAAGCTGCAACAGATGTATCTCCATTGAACTAGGGAGCTGGAAACAGCAAAAGGTCTATATTTACAAAATAAAGAGAAGGAAGCCCTTCATCCAGAAGGAGAAGAAACCCCAAAGGGAATAGGAAAACAATAAGGAAGGAGGGGAGGAAAAACCTCACTTGTCCCATGTGAGGTTTGACCTTTGAGCTCAGAAGTTACTATAATAACCAGTTCAAGGAAATAGTGACCAATCAGAGGGGATATCAAGGCACCAAGATTTATAGCAGTGATGACGAACCTTTTGAGCTCGGCGTGTCAGCATTTTGAAAAACCCTAACTTAACTCTGGTGCCGTGTCACATACAGAAATTTTTTGAAATTTGCAACCATAGTAAAACAAAGACATATATATATATATATATATATATATATATATATATATATATATATATTTTTTTTTTTTAAATATATTTTATTGATTTTTTACAGAGAGGAAGGGAGAGAGATAGAGAGTTAGAAACATCGATGAGAGAGAAACATCGATCAGCTGCCTCCTGCACATCTCCCACTGGGGATGTGCCCGCAACCCAGGTACATGCCCTTGACCGGAATCGAACCTGGGACCTTTCAGTCCGCAAGCCGACGCTCTATCCACTGAGCCAAACCGGTTTCGGCAAGACTTATATTTTTGATATTTATTTTATATATTTAAATGCCATTTAACAAAGAAAAATCAACCAAAAAAATGAGTTCGCGTGTCATAGGTTTGCCATCACTGATCTATAGCCTTTATAAACCATGGAAACAGGGACTCAGTGGGACTCTTCCCCCTCCCCACATGGGAGTCTGTTCTGTGGACTCTTCCCCCTCCCCATGTGGGAGTCTGTTCTGTGGACTCTTCCCCCTCCCCATGTGGGAGTCTGTTCTGTGGACTCTTCCCCCTCCCCATGTGGGAGTCTGTTCTGTGGGGCTCTTTCCCCTCCCCACATGGGAGTCCGTAATTGTTCTTCAGTAAATGTCCACCTTTACTATACCACCTTCCATCCGTGGATTCATTCATTCATTCCCAAGGACAAAGAACTAGTCTGCCCAGGGGAACACTGTGTGTTCCAGTCCAAGGAATTCTGCTTCAACCTCATCTTAACTTACACAATGTCTCTTTTTTGGTGGTGGTGGTGGTGGTGGTGGGTGGGTGGGGTGGAGCACAGTTCAACCCACAACTGACTCTGAAGAAATACCAATAGTATTTGAAATGAAAGACTTTTCCTGCATACCCTTTTGTTAAAAATATTGTATTATGTTGAAGATGTAAGTGGAAGCTTTTATAGAATGTAAATGGTGGCTGCAAATATATTGAGAAAGACATGTTTTATGAAGTTTGGTATTGAACATGAAACATTATTTCTTTCTGGACAAGGTTTGCCTGGCAAATAATTGTGCAAGTATGAAGGAATCCGTCTGCCGGGACGGTATGCTGAGGTTTGCTGAAGCTTCTTTGAGGGGGAATCAAGACATGTATCAAAGACAAAACTAGACAAGTAAAGTGATGAACTATATTGAGGCGCTAAGGAGAGCACCCCGAGTGCCTCAGAAGGTTCACTGTGTCTTAGAGAGACAAGGCTAAATAGGCTATACTGGGGTGATTCGTAGTTGCTTTGTTCTGTAATCAGAAGCCTCAGTCGGGTGGCAGAACAGGAAGTGTTTTTCTCTGTTGTTATCGAGTTTAGGGGAACAAATAGATCTAACCTTCGATGATCCATTATAACAAAGAATGGGAAGTTGGAGGATCTGTGATCTTATCAGCAGATTTGTCACAAGTAAACAGAGG